TTTGGGGCCTTTGTTGTTTGGTGTAATACTTGAATGCAATTATTGTATTTGCAGCCGTCCTTGCTGGTTATCGATGGAAGTTCCCTACAAGCAAAACAATATGGGGTTTTTGATACTAATGCTTTGGTGATGAAGCTAGCAGTGCCCCTTGGCTCATTTTATTACACCACTCACCTGCATTCTTCTTGTTCAGGCGCTGTGAATTATCTTGTATTTTGGCCTTCAATCAAGATTGGTTCATTTTCTGCTGTCAGAATGAGTGATTAGTTGTTCATCCTGACATATCTGCCCTACCAATTTGAGGTATTGTCCTTTTCTACATTTCATCTCAGAGCACATGTCCCATAGGTCTCAAAGTACATGTGAACTGTTATTTATCATGTCATTATATTGCAGGTTGGCATATGCTCGAATAACAATCATCTATAGGACGTTTGTCATTCCTGTGGCCTTTTTGTTAACTGTCCACATGTAAATTGAAAGATATTAAATTCATGCATGTTATCTTGTATTTAGTGATAAAGATTTGCTTAGTATTAAAAAAGTACTAATAAACAGATTTGCTCTGGCTTGTATTAAGATACAGCATCAGATTTTGATGCCTTAATACAGCTCTAATACTATGGGTATTCCTCCTAACAGATCAATCAAGATTTTCAATAGATTAAATAATCATCCTAACATAACTTCTACTTGCCATGTGAAATGATTTCATATATAAAAACCACGAGATATATAGAGATTCATATCAGAAAACTATTAAACTGATTGCAAACTAAAGCCTAGATTGCATATCTTAAGATATCATGTAGAACTTTTTAGGCTGTGCTTGTGGAGATAACAAACTGTTTCGTGAATTAGTTGAAGTGCACACGAGCTATCTGGGAACTGCAGTCGTAATATAGAAGAATACAGGATAATTTCACAGATAAAGAATTTGGCTATCCATTTTAAGTAAACAATAAACAATTGTAAAAATTTCATTTGTATTGTTTGCTAACTTTGTACATAAGTTTACTACTCTTGCCTAGCAAGATGAAAATTCTAAGCTCAAAATTGTCTGATGTCTACAACAGTACTCTCTCATGGTTCTACATTTCATAAACTCAATTGAGAAGTGACGTAGAAAAAATCATCCTCATTGCAAGGTATTGTTAAACCACCCATCGGATGATGAAATCCAAACTCTTCTTCTGATTTCCGTAACAACTTCTGGAAAGAAGGATGATTCAGGTATGTTATTACTTATTAGCACCACGTATCGTTTCTTCTCTGTGTCACCTACATAAACTGTAAAATGTCCTTTTGGAACATCTGAATGATTTCTTGTAAGAACAGATTGCATTTTGTGGATTTTCTTGGCACCGGCTATCATAGGTAACAAACGAAATCCCATGACTTGTTGATATGTTAATATTAGAGTAATTTAGATTGAACTAACACTTGCCCTGAAGTTTGCTCAAGGAATGTCTTATATTTATATAGCTGCTAGCATACATTGTTGTTATGGGGGAGGGCTAACTCACATGGCTTTGGTCATAAAATTCAATAAATTAAAAAATGCAATATGTTCAATAGTAGTGTAGTATGCATCAGAGTGAAGTGATCAAGTTGCTAGGTGTGTTGTGAAGTTATTGCATTATGGCCTGCATTATTTTTGTTGCTGATGCGTTGGGAATAGCTGATTGTACAACGATTTCATAACAATATGTACTACTATGTCATCGATAAGGATGTGAATATTAAAGTTACTATGCAGAACATCTGGAAATGGTGCTTCACTATAAATAGGTTTCTGTTAATTCATAGACCTTTTATGAAGTAATTTGGACATGTTCTGCTTTTATTAAATTTTATTTCCTTTAACAATAGACTTCTATTGAAGTATGCATACAGGTGCATGTGACTCCACTTTTAGTAATAATAACTATTTGCATCAAGACAGCCTCCAAGATGACTGCAAAAGAAGTGGTGTCTGCGTTCCAAGCTGAGTAATTCAATATCGCTATAAACTTTAGGACATTTTAGGGACACTCAAAAAGAGTGCAAATTAATTACCATTAAAGATCATTTTTGGTATGATGATAGAGGGATTAATTGGTGGGAAGTGTCATAAAAAGAGGAAAATGACTTTTCTAATGCAAGTTGGGAAAACTAGTAGCATAAGTGATTATTTGCAACAAATTGAGTGATAGAAAATAAATTGTAATCATAAATAAAATATAAAAAAAACATAATTTTATTGATAAAACAATGTGAGTACAATTTTGTTCTTCACTTGATACTTGTCTCCTAAGATTTCTTCGTGATTCGAGGACGTATTTCTATAGTGAGTGACATTCCAAGTTTATTGTCTCCTTCCCACTCACCCAACTCTCACCCCTTGAACTCACTCCCCCCATCCCTGAACTCCCACTCCCCCATCCCTATCCGCCTCCATAATATTTTGCCGGATGACATATGAATATTCTTGGGATAATATTTTCTTACTTTCTTACGAAATACTAGAAAATAAATAAGAGACCGCCTTATTTTTCAAGAAAACATTTTCTGTGAAAAACATTTTCATTGGTACCAAACACCCTAAATTTCTGTCAGTAGTTTCCAAAAATGCTGGGACCAAATCCACCAACACTCTTTTCAATTCCCAACTTATAGATGGAAGAAAATTTTTGGAACAATACATTTCAAGAATAGCACATAGTTTTGTGCTCAAACTGCGTACTTCCTAACGTCACATAGATTCAGTAATTATTTCTTTTATTTATTATATATATATTTGTTCTGTTTAATAGTTTATTGATTTTTGCTACTTTATCTTTTTACTCAGCTTGTGCTAACAGTTCATTGCTCATTTATGATGTGACCTTTTAATTATAAGCATATATAATTGCTCTCATTCTCTGCATCTTTCAATCATAAAAGCTCAACCAAATAATGAATTGTTGAGTAATCCTTAAACTCTCTGCAACTTATAATCAAATCAGAAGCATCTGATCTGGCTCAGGCTTGTAGAATTATTACACTATAATTGCTGAATTTCATAACATATTTGACTGATGGTCTGCTTATATGAATTTGAGTAATTCTTTTTTCTAATGATATAGTTTTTGGTGTTGAATTAGATTCAAGTATCATTTTTTTATATGGAATCAGAGTAAGATTCATCTCTGTTTAAACTAAAAATCCACATTGTAGTTGGGTGATCTGGACGTGCAAAAAAGTGTTTAGAGTTCCACATTTGTTGGAGAATGTACTGATGATCTAATTCTATAGACTTGGTGTGACTCCCAACTTAAGATAAGAAGTTCCACATCGGCAAAATACATAAGAGATGTTGGGTATATAAGTAAGTAGGCCTTACCAACTAGTGATGCGTTTTAAAATCGTGCTGACCTAGGCCCAAAGAGGACAATATCCCTAGAGGGTTGAGTCGTTACAAATGGTATCAGAGAGGGGCGGTTAACACATGAGAAATATTGAGTATATAAGTAAGCAGATCTTACCAACTAGTGACACATTTTAAAATTGTGCAGGCCTAGGCCTATAGCAAATAATATCACTAGCGGACTGAGCCGTTACACTTGGACAATCCTCCCTTCATGAGCTAGCTCCTGTGTAATATATTAGTTGTTTATCGTGACTTTGATCCGTAACAGCCCTACCAATTCAGGTATGTAATTTTCCATCTTTCTTCTCAAGAACACATGTCCTGGATCTACAATTATATTACATGTGAGCTTGTTGTCATCTTACATTATATTAGTACTATATTCATCCAATATTGTTCAATCATTGATCACAAGTTTTTCATTCTTTGTTAACTGTCTACATGTGCATATTAACTCATCTATCTAATCTAGTAATTTAGTAATCTTGATTTTATTTGTATTATAAAAGTAGTAATAAACAGATTTGCTTTGGATGGTCCTGAGATTCAGTATCAGATTTGTGATCCCTTTATAAGATATGATCTATATTATTTTTCCAACTAATTTGATGTGTATGATTGAGCTAGTTTAATTAGGTACTTTTATATCCCTTATTTTTCTGTATCTACTCATGACACCATTATTCTAGATCTTTCACAGTTTTTTTTTTCTCATCCACCCAATATTCGGTATACATATTGAAGTCCATCGGTAATAAAGGGATCTTTCACAGTTTTAATAAGGCATTATACATAAACGTCCCTTTCAAATTGGCTTTTACTGACATTTATGCCCTTCAAATTTGGGTGTGCACAAGTAGACTTTTAAACTTGCATAAAATTAAACAAATAGACACATTCGTCTTACGTGGCATCCTATATGATAATTTTGTCTCCTACGTAGCGTACTATATGTATTATGCCACGTAGGACGCGTGTGTGTATTTGTTTAATTTTATACAAATTTAAGTGTTTATTTATGCACATCCAAAATTAGAGAACATAAATACCAGCTGAATCCAAATGAAAAGATATAAATATGTACTATGCCTTCTAATAAACATTTTAACATGACTTCCAGTTGGCATAAAAAATGTTATGAGAAAGCCAGCACAGAGATTCTAATTGACTGCTAACAGAAATTATGCAAAAACAAAATTAAACAAGAGAATGTGCCTTCTTTAAACTCAATAATTTTTATTTTATGCACAATCTCAATTAGAATCTGACATATAACTATGAAACTCAGATGCCTTCAACAGTCAAAGGGAAGAAGTAAAGAAAATTTTCTAACTAACTGGTCATTAAATGCTGATAATTTCGAAAAATCTTAATAATTCAGTTGGTTGACTATCTAAACTTTTACCTCGTTGGTAAGAGTTTGAATCTCAATCTTTTAAATCTTGTGGTCTTAAATTAAAGATATGTAAAATCTATCAAAATACCCTTTAATTTTGTGATTTTTGTGATGACACCCGAAAAGTTAGAATTAAAGAATTACCAAAAAGAAAAAAAGATTTTTTTAGAAACTAACTAAAAAGAAAAGCAAGACAAACAAATTTAAATGGAGAAAGTCAACAAAACTCGGTAGAGATTACATTTGTTGAAGGCTATGTACATAAGTTTACAACTCTTGCATATTATAAGAGCAAAAAAAAAAAAAAGTGAAATATTCTATGGTCTATTCTGAAGTATTATTGCTTCATGATTTAATTAAGTGTTCAATTGAGAAGTGACATCAACAAATGCATCTACATTGCATGGTATTGTTAAACCTCCCATTGAATGATGAAACCCAAATTCTTCTTCTGCTTGCCTTAATAATTTCTGGAAAGAAGGATGATTCAAGTACGTTATTGGGACCACGAATCGTTTCTTCTCTGTTTTTCCGATATAAACTGCAAAATGTCCTTTAGGAACATCGGAATGATTTCTTGTAAGAGCGGATTGCAGTTTGTAGATATGTTTAGCACTGGAAATCATCGGTAACAAACGAAATCCCATGACTTAATTACTTCTCTTGTTATGTAAGTGTTGGTGTTTTGATATATTGATATTAATTTGGTTGAATATCTATAAAGATTTTTTTTATTTTTTGTTATGAATTTTGAAGTAGAGAGTTTATATTTATATAGTTGTTGCATATGTATTGCCACAATGACACCCCAATGTAAGCTGTTGTTATGGGCAATGGGTCATGTTCTGAGCTACTTCACATGGCTGTGCTAATATTGCCCAATTAAAAATGTTCTGACTTGACATGAAATGTAAGAAAATAAAGAAGATTTTTCAATTTTGTGATTCTAACTTAAATTATGTCAAATGTACTAATTAAAATATCTTTTAACCTTGTGACTTTAAATATCCTACTTTGAAAAGCTGAAATTAGAGAGTTGCAAAAAAGGTAAAGGGTCATTCTTATTGAAATAAACTAAAAAAGAAATTAAATAGGTCATTCTTTATAAAACGGAAGGAGCATAGAACTATCCTTTAGTTAAATTATTAGGTTTTTAATGGTGTGTGTGTCATATTTCTGTTTTATGTATTCTAAGAAAAATTAGTTAGGAGGTTTTGACTATTTTATCCTAATTTTTATTCATTGAATCATCTTTCGATAATAATTTAAGATAATTATTTTTTAAAATCATGATAAATAATTTGAAACGGAAGGAGTATGAAGTGCATCAATTTCATAACAATAGCATGTGATGAGTTGAGTGATCCGTAAATATGTAAACCCACAATCCATAACCTCTGGAAATGGTGTAAAATATCCTCTGACATCTTTATTCTACTTTAAATAGGCTTCTGTTAGACTTCACAAAAATAAGTTTTACTTTTAACCGCTGAGTAAAAACTATCTATACATATATACTAATATATATTAGGGAAAATTGTATATAATAGCAAATTATTAATTCAAATTAAATGCTATAAATATACTTTGATTTAATTGTACCCTATAGCAAATTATAGCTATTTTCGCCACTCTCCCTGGTGGAATCTCGCTTGCCACTCTCGTTTGGTGGCAGTCTCGCTCGCCTCTCTCACTTTATACAAAAACGCAAATGTATAAAATGCGTTTGTGTTTGTATAAAGCGAGAGAAAATTGTATATATACATATATTTTCGTTCCCCTCTCTCCCCTCTCCAGATCTCGCTCGCCACTCTCCCAGATCTCGCTCGCTCACTCGCCTCTCTCACTTTATACAAACAGAAACGAAATGTATAAATTGCACTTCTATTTGTATAAAGAGAGAGAAAATTGTATATA